CTCTCATCATATCTAGATGAGAAAATTTGGGCGACATTACTCTTTTCGTTGTTTGGATCAGACTCGGTTGCAATTTTAATCAAAGCATCCACATCTCCTTCACTTAATGCTTGATCTATTAGATTGACAGCCTCATCAAAATTTCTGGCTTGATAAACATTACGCAGAAAAGTGCGTAGTATTGGATAGTGAGGAGAAGCAGCTCTCAGTATTCTTAGCTTGCTTTTACATGTACTGTTATCCTCATAACAAGTCAATGGATGACCATTCTTTTGTGGATCATGCTCATTTGGGCAACCTCTATCTACGTCTCTCAAAATTTTTCGAAATTCCTTAGCAGGTTTACTGAATGCTTCTTTTAAGTCTTTGATTGTTTCAATTTGAAAATCTGTCAGTGGTTTACAATTATCAGTACATGCTATTTTTACAGTTCTATTTTTAACCCTTTTACCACTGTCATTGTCTATTGTGTCACTATCTTTTACAGTAACAATTTTATCATTTTCTATCTCTTTATCTGTATCTTTACTTAAAATTTCATACTCATCATCATCAAAACAACCATCAATAAGTTTTGCTAAATCATCATCGTCTAAAATTAAACTATCATTATCGACAGTTGATGGGGCATCTTTATAGGATGCTTGGTAAAAGTGTGGCTCACAACTGGCGACGTGATAGGAAACACCAAATTCCCCATTGCCAATGTATGTATTATTATTAACTTTTTTAATTACCCCAAGCAGCATTCCAGCAAAATGTCTATGTATATTTAATATTACAGTAACAAGTCTCCTAGCTGCAATTAAATTAATACCCGACTGCATGACAGCAATCGGCAAAGACTTGTCAATATCAAAAGCAACTTTCAATTGCTTTTGTACTCCTTTATTTTTAGCAAGTTTTTGTCTAATTATTGCTATGTATCTTTCTTATATCAATTTTTGGTTCGGCTAGATTGTATCTAGCTCTTCTGTTTTGTCTTAAGGTACTTTTGGATGAAATTTTAATATTTTTTTAATTGCTGCCATTTTATAGTAGAAAAAAAGTTGTACAACTTGTGGTAATTTTAGATCTTTACAATGCACTGTTTAGAAGTTATAGATCATTGAACTTTAAATATTAAAAAAATTCCTGCATAACTTTTCATACTTCATATGCCATCTTTGATCTTGTCTCATTTCTGGATACCTCTGTCTATTATAAAACTGGCGGGAAAAATTAATTGCAAGGTGGGGTTAATTTATGCCGTCATATTAGTCAAACCATTAATAAAAATGGCCACCAGTATGTATTTCCTGACTATTGTTTATTTAGCTGTTTCATCTGGTGAATGCAGGCTCTACGAAGCTCTAAAGCTTGCAATCATGGCATAATGAATGCAAACACTCAATCAAGTTTGTATGCAGTAAATGCTTTTGTGATACACTGATGTGTGAAAGTCATGAAACTTTATGAGAGATTGCAGCCCATTTTGCAAAACTTGAAAAACTTTTGCCAAATGATGCAACATACATCAATAGAAAATAATATTATAAAAACAATGATATTACAAAAATTAAAGTATTCTCATCATGTTCAAGAATTCGTTACTCAGTTTTCATCCATTTTACAAAGTTCAGTAAAGTTTATTGCATCTCACTATTGAGAAAAAAATTGAATAAATTATATATTGCAGAAAAAGTTTAAAGGAAACAATTTGTGTCCCAAAATCTAAATTGTGCGTTCAGCCCGTTGTACCTTAATTTGAGAAAAATTTTTTAATAATATTTTCTATTCGTTTGTCTCTTTTGCAATATTCTTGCTATGACATTAGATCTCTTCTTAGCTGATACATTTCTTGTTGGTGGATTTAAGTTACGCTTTATTCTATAGTTTTGTCTTAGCTTGGCATTTTTTGTGTTAGCCACAGCAGCATAATGCTCTCTAGCATTGTCTCGTAATTGCTGACTGTGGGAGGCGTAATACTCATTCATCATTTTCTTTCTTTCTTCTAAATTAGCAGCATAATTATCTTTAAATGCCTTTAATCTTTCTTTATGATGAGAAGCATGATACTTTTTCAAATAATCCGATACTTTATGTTTACCATTATTTGTGGCACGATATTTTTCTGTTGCTTTTATTTTATTCCTTGTTTGATATTTTTTCAAACAATCCGATACTTTCCGTTTATTTTGGGTCCGATATTTTTTTGATTTGGCTAGGCTTTCATCATAATTTTTATAGTAATTTTGCTTTGACCTCTCCTTTTTTTTCATTAACTGTCTCTCTCTGACAGTTGTGTCATCTTCATGAGTAGTAGCGACTTCAAACTGTGTGTTGTCACACAACTCTGGCGGGTTATGATCCCACACAGACCA